TTTAGCGGGGACCGCGATCCAGGCTGGAGACGCGCTGGGCGGGTAGGAACGCTGTCGCAGCCAGGACGCCGAGGGGTCCCCGCCAGCGCTGGGCACTCGGAGCGAGGGTCTGGGCGCCTCCGATGTCCCCGTCCGGCTGCTGATACCTGCATCCTCTTCCCGCGTCGTCGTGGGGCCGCGGAGGTCCCGGCAGAGGCAAAGCGCCTCTTTGGCAAAGCGGGAGTGAGTAAGCGTGCCGCCCCAGCTCCTGTGGGAGGCGGGAATTGGGGGAGAGGGGACCCCTTCCGGTCGGCTGCCAGCCTGCCACCCTCCTGCCCCCGGGCTGGCGTGGGATCGAGGTGTCCCACCGTGGGACCTCGCGCGTGGGCTGTACGGGCTCCGGCCGTCCCTTCTCTAACCTTTGCCCGCGATTTGGCTGTTTCGTTGGAAGGATTTATCTTTGGGGTCTGCTTGGAATCCTCGGAAGGACCTGCTCCAAGCACTGAGTGAATTTGCTCCAGCGATCATATTTCCTGCCCCCCTGATTCAAACCCCCTCAAAGCTGAATTCCTCCCAGTTCTTTGCGCCAAAATTAACTGACCTGGAGAGACCCTATCCAGTACTTTCTGACAGATTTACCCGATATCTTCTTGGCTTGGTAGCTTTATTTTGCTATTGCTTTTCATGAAGAATTCATATTTTTGTCTTCCGAGATTTTCAGTAATTGTACCTGTACATGTGAATTTTAGGTGTGGTTGGAGGGTGGCTACACTAATCGAAACTCTGGGATGCCTTTAGGGAGGTAGAAAGTCATGTTCACCAACAACTAATACATATTTTTGTGGGCAGAAGATATCTAAGTATAAAATCGTTTTTAATGTAATCGTACATTGCAGATGGAGGTAAATTGTTTAACACTAAAAGACCTGATCAACCCCAAGCAGGCCAGACTAGAGTTGGCAATTGAAGATGGGGAAAATGCACAAAAGGTAAGCATGCATAAGTGCCTTCATCTCCCACATATTAAGGGTGGTGATGTCAAATCCATTGAAGTGTTCCACTGTGCCACCTGTACTTATAAGGTCTTTCATTGTAATGGACATCAAAGAAACATTTTTTAACAAATAGAGCCATTGGAACCATTATTGTTTCCATTCTGGTCCCAGTCCTTGTGTAGTGAGTAGATGTAGTATTGGAACCAGCTTATTTAAATCAAAGATATGCGGGACACAGCAGTCGATTTATAATCTTACAGTTGTCGATGGTTTTGTAGAATATTGGCCTCAGAAAATAGACTTGTGTAGTTATAAATTCTGGATTATTAAAATGCTGAGAAATACCTCCTTACCATGGAGCCAGCCGTGAGTCTCTTTCCCATTTACCCAAGAATGTGGCCTGTGCCTACTATATAGTAAGCACAGTGAGTGGTCCCACCAACATACTCTAAATATTTTACAGTGCTTTTGCTATTTTTATATGAGCCATTCTTTCTCCTTTTGCACTCCTTGAATTTGTAAGACTATATTTGCAAGAAATGTTAAATAAACTGGCTGTAGAATTTTCTAAACTATCACCTTGCCAACATCAGCATAGTGACCAGCAGATGAGCTACCAAAAGGCATTATAGCTTGTTAACAGTAAAGAGCTGAGCATTTTTAGACAGAGGCAAATAAATATAACACACCTAGTTTTAGAAACTTCAAGTATAAATCGGAGAGAAGTTTAACTTCCTTGGGCATTGACTTCTCTGGGCTCATGGTCTTATATTTAAGCTTAACATCAACAGTGAACCTGCCTGGTTGTAAAGCACCTGTTACATGACCTTTAAACAATTCTTGATAGTTACTAATTTTGAAAAGTACGAAACCCAAAATGCTTCCCAACATTTGATTTATTTTTGCTAGGAAAAGAAGTATACCAAGACATTTTTGTTTTAAAGATAACTTTAAATTAACTAAGGCATATGAAGGTAGCAATCTCCAGCCTTTTAAATATGTATTTAGAATTTTGGCTTGGTGAATTTCAGAGCAAAATTTTTTGGTTTTCTTTGTAATTTGGATGGTTCAGCCTTGAAAGAAAATTTACATTTATACAGAGTCTCAGTCAGTGTTTAAGTCCTTCTGCTTCCATCCTTCTGGGTCAGTGACTTATCAAAAGCCTTCAACAAGGGTTGTTCTCCCCTAGTTAGGCTCAGATAAGGCTGTGTCCATTGAGCTTTCATGTTTTAATGGGTGTGCAGAAAAAACTCAAATAACATAAAAGAGGTTGAGAAAATGATTAAAATATTTGAAACATTTCCTGAGCAAGGATTATTTCACCTCCCACAGAAGTCAAGAGGTGAGAGCAGAGAGCTTCTACCAAGACACTGGGAGGGGGCCTTTCCTTTCCATGTTGGTAGGAATTGTAGGAAAGAGGTTTTCTAGGGATGACAAGAACATGAGTTTGAAATCACATTGTCCTAGGCTTGATTTCCTAGTCTCCATTTATTAGCATGACCTCAAATAAATATATTTACAAGGTCTTTCAACAAAGGTTTTGTTTCCAACAGTGAGGGTACAGTGCTTTAATGAGTCTCCTAACCTTTCTCAGCCCCTTTTTGCCTTCCATTGGAGAGGAAATTGGAGCTAATATGTAGCACCTCCACTGTTGGGTTTTCTTAAGCACCCAGCAACATACACTCTTCACATTCACTGAATTAAACTGACAGCACAAAGGTGAATATGATCAGGTCTTGCCACTCAGTTACCTGAGAGATTTTCAAGGATCCAGATATCAAACTAGCCAACTATACTATGACTTAATGGTTGTCATAATAGGAGGGAGGACAAAGTGCCCGGGCATAATAGAGGAGAAAAACTAACCTCGAGGGATTTGGAGGGCTTCAGAAAGAAAAAAGAGCTGAGTTATACTTTCCTGGTTGAGGAAGTTCAACAAACTAAGAAAAGAAGAGTGACTGAGATGGACATTAGGCAGAAGGAACAATATGAAGTGTGGGCATTCAAGAAATATTCAAGAAGTTCACAGTGGCCCAAAGCATGTTTCCTTCCAGAAATGCCTCTGGCGGGTTGGGGAATTATGTCTGCTTGATTAGTTATTTAGAGGGTTTCTTTCTTGACATCTTCACATCAGTCAAGATCCAAAGTACTATATTGTACTCGTTGTATCTTCTGCCTATTCATGGAGAAACTTTTCTTGAAAACATAGTTTTCCACATTTTTACCCAAATTTATTGCTCTTAGCTGTGGGTTTCTATATGAGGCTCTCCAATGCATCAAGGATATAAGATTCTGCAGTGCATTTGGGGATGACAGAAGTAGGAAGTAGTAGTTCAGAGGAAAAGGTGAGTGCCAAGGGTTGAACTGTTGGGAGGGCTCTGAAAGAGCTCACACTTGAGCAGCAAGTGAATGCTGAAGCCCACCTATGCAAGCAAAGAGGAAGACAGCTGGTCAAGAAGTAGAAATGAGGCACAGTTGAGGACAATCCCCCAACTTAGTTGGACCTGGATATTCTTTAAAAGACATTCCTATCTTTTGGAAGTGTTTGAGAAAGAAGGTGAGTTAAATTTGGAATAGGTTTGTACTGTGTGACAACAAACAGGCAGCTGGTTGTCTGATTTTGAGATTTACGAAAGGTCCTAGACTCAGAATGAAACTTGGGAATTGTGAGCACACAAGTTGACTTTAAATCCATACGTATGAGATTAGGTGAACCATCCCAGAGAAGGTGAATAGTGAGAGAGGGCTGAAGGGCTCGAGTGTGGACTTCTGCATTTTGTTAAGCGTGGAAAGAAGAGGAACCAATTAAGGAGACCGAGAAGGCACAGTCAGAAGTATAAAGGGAGCCAAGAGAGAAACAGCAGTATTTCAGAAGCGAGAAGCAGTCTTACCTGGGGCAGGGAGGTCATCAAGTAAGATATTTCACTACTGATTTGCTTTGGCAACTCGGAGGTGAAAGGTGTGGATCAGAACAGGCTTTGTAGGGGAACTCCTGGGAGGAAGGTAGGAGAAAGCCCTCAGTGAGATTACTTCCATAAAGTACACTCTTTGCAGGAAGGAGAGTTTGATCCACGGACAGAAGGTGGCACTTCCTAACACGTATTAACAGTGAGCCCTCAACAGTAGGTAGGATTTCAACAGGCAGGGGTCTGCCAGTGGCACTGAAGAGAACCTGATGATGTGAGCGACAACTTAGGTGATTAGGTGCACAGGGCAGGTTTGAAGGAAAAGCAGGTGGACTGTTGGGGCAGTGTAGGCTTTGTCTGTGGGGAACCGGATGAGGTTGCTCAGATGCTGTTGAGCCTAACAGTGCTGATGACCACAGATACTATTTGAGTTTTCATGGTCAAAGCTGTATGAGGATGGAACCAGGACTAGAACCAAAATCTTGCAGCTACTAAGCTGTTTCTATGTCAGCCTTTACCTGTAGTGATAGTGCAGATACTGTATTAATCATGGAAATGAACATTTGTGTTCCCTTGGCAGATGACAGTGCTTCACTGGCATTTTGTGAGTTAATTCTCACAGCAGCTTATGGCATGGAAGCCAAGGTGCATTACCTCCTTCCTGTCAGAACTGGAGGACCATTTCCTCGGTTCCATCCTCCAGGCTCTCAGGAAGTGATTTTTAAGGTGTTGCAGGCTACATTTTCTGACAGGTAGATCCCACCTGGAATCAAGTGTGTAGATTTATGAGAGAGGGCTCTTGGGTTCAAGACCTAGGGGAGAATTGGAGGAGAAGGAAGGGAAGAAAAAGGAAGGGAGCACAACTGGAGAAGAGGAAAAGTAGAACTGCAGTACAGTTACAGTAGAAGTCTGAGTCTTGGCGAGTTCTGGGATGACCCTTAGACATGGTCCTGAGTTGGGGCGAGGAGACCAGGCTTTTTTGTATGTCCGTGCTACTCTACCAGGCACCAAGTACCATACAGGCCTCCCATGAAAGGGTGGGATCCTGGGCTTGTCAGCCCTACAAAGTCAAGTGAGTCTTGCTAAGGATTTGCTGTTGCCATGACCCCGGGAATGTCTCATTCATTTCTGAAGAGATCTTGGTGCATCCCACCATCCACTACACAGTTACACAGCCTTACTGGAAAGCCTTGAAGACAGGTACCTTGGTCTAAATTCTTTTTTACATACAGAAACTTGTACCCAGACAGAATGAGCAACACAGCGCTGAAACAAAGAAGATTCTGTTTCTAAATTCCCACGCTAATCCCCTTTCCTCTGCCTTCTGCAGTGTCAGGATAACAGAATAGACAGGTAGAGCCGGGTATGACTAGGTTGCAGTTGACTTTCTTGTCTACCCTAAACCCCTAAAACACAATTTATTGGTATTTTTAAATTTTTCATAAAGAATTGCAATGCAGTCCCAACCTGCCATGTAACTCCCTCCCTACTTTTCTCAATCTGCCCTCTTAAATCCCCTCGTACTTTTCTACTTAAACTGTAGCATAAATGAGTCAGTGTATGCAAAAATAATCCATTCTAATTGCTGTCTAGCTTGAGAAAAAGTGAGAACTCATAGCTCCTGTGGGGATAGGTATTGTGGAGACAGCCGGAAAAGAGAGTAAATACCTGTGCACTCAGCAAGCCAGGTACCCAGGTACCCCACAAGGACACCTTCTAGAAGAACTAGGTAATTGAAGCACAGTGGTTGAGCAGCTGTAATGGGCAGGGCATTGTGCCAAGGACTGAGGAAAAGGATGTGCGAACTGACCCCCACAAGTACACAGTCTCATTATGGAGACACGATACATGCCCAGGAAGTTAAATAGCAGTATGATGTGCTATATTATATTAACTCTGAGTGCCAGAATGAGAGAGCGGAAAGGGTAATGGTAAGTTTTATTGAGTGTCCAGTATACCATAATGCTTGAGGTTGGTGTTTTTATGAACTTCATTTAGCTGAAAGAATAGAAGTATAGTGAAGTAAAGGACTTGCCCATGTTCATTCTGCTAAGGAGCAAAAACTGATAAGTGGCTCCAGATCCTGCACACATAACCACTGTCCCGTACTGCTTCTCTTGAGATGCTAGTAGGGGTCAGTAGCCTGCTGGATTATTGGAATTGTAAAAAAGATAACTTCCTCCCAGTTTCACCCTGGCTCATTTCTAGAACAGCATTTCAGAAACATCTGCCTTCAGCTGTTTCTTACATACCAATGATTTTTATACCAAATGAGGTTATACGACCTAACACAAGTTATTTAACCTTTCTCTGCCTCAGTTTCTTCATCTGTAAACTGGAAAAACAACAGTGCCTATATCTCAGGATTAGATGAGGAATTAATACATATAAAGCACATGAAATGGACATGGCACTGGTAATTTCCCTTGAGAGTTCACTTGTAGAACTTTTCATCAGACGGACACACTGATGGGGACTTGTTGAGAGTTGAGTAGGTGCAGCTCACTAGGCTGAATTCCTACTGCTGGGAAGACTTGAAAAATCATCTTTATCCAAACCCTTCCTGCCTATTATGCTAGGACATACTCTCTATGGCTCAGTTACTGATCAGCCAGAATCGAGCATGCCGTACTGTAATGTGATACGTGTAGAGGAAAAGGAGTGACAGATACTTAACTCATCCACCTTCAAGATTATGTAAATCGCTGTTGACAGGAAGTGAAGTCTACAGGAAGAGTGGAATCTTTCTGATTTTGAAAGAAACATTTTAGGAGGAAGAAAAACTTAATTAGTGATTCTAAATGTGGGTTCTGAGTATTAATGGGCCCATCTTTAATCTTGTAATTATCTACAGACTATTACCAGGTTACTAAAAAATTGAACTTGGGAGTTGAGCACTTAAAAACCATATTGGTAGTTTGATAATCACCTTGGTCCATCTAAGCTTATGTTCAGTAGTCTTCTGGTCGACTGGGCTGTGGGTTTGAGTGACAAAGCAAAATGGCAAATCACATATGATGGGAATTGCATATTAGTCATAACAGGTAAGATCAGCTCAGTATGTGGGAGTTTGGAAATTTAAAAAGCTGGTCCTCCGTGGATGGTTTGAGAAATACTGTTCTAGAAGATTAACATTACTACACAGCACTCTAGTTTTGCTTTACACAGCACTTTAGCTTTGGTATTTTGTTGGATGCTCTTTCTGTAACTGGTTATACTATACTAATTGCTGTACTACCACTGGTGCACTTTGAACTACAAAAACATAATTGCTCTTCACTAGCTAGTGCAAATTTCTAAGTAGTGTTTAAAAATATATATGTAGCCCTTAGAAACAATATGGATTCAAAATACATTGGCCTTCATCACCCCCACCTATTGTGAGCATTAACCAATGACTGATGGCATTCATGGCATCTCTTACAGAGATGCCTTGAAAAAGTATGTTTAAAAGGAACACAGATTCTCTGTTTAGTTCCCATGAAATCTTCTGTCCATTTTTCACTAACCCAATCCTGGCACTTTTCAGCCCTGAACATATATAGTCCTATTTGTATTTCCATGTCTTAGTGAATGGTGGGAACAAGCTACTCTTAGCTAATAGCAGCTTTTTCTTGCTAAAAAGTCTCTTTTTTAAAAAATAGGAAAATATATTTGTTGATCGATCAAGGATGGCCCCAAAGACTCCAATAAAAAATGAACCAATTGATTTATCAAAGCAAAAAATCTTCACTCCAGAAAGAAATCCCATTACTCCAGTTAAGCTTGTGGACAGACAGCAGACAGAACCATGGACACCCACAGCCAACCTGAAGATGCTTATCAGTGCTGCCAGCCCAGACATAAGGGATCGGGAGAAGAAAAAGGGGCTGTTCAGACCCATTGAAAACAAGGATGATGTATTTACAGACTCTTTGCAGGTAAACAGGAGGTACTCCAAGGACTTTTAGAGAATTGTTAAAATTTTTCTTGATTATTACAAAGTTCACAGAATTATCATTTTTCCATCCCTATTGAGCCAAAAGCAGTATTAAACTTAGTCTTTTTTATGTATAACTGAATTCCATTCTATGTCTTATTTTTCGTAATGAATATTTTCTTCTCTTCTGTGTGATAATTGGACCAAACCATATTTAAAAGTGATATTCTTTGAAGTATTGATTTTTAAGGATTTTAATGAAGGAATTCAGATATTTAAATGCTTCTGTGAGTTTTAATTTTGCTCAGATTTCAAGGGTAATATTAATCTAAATAATTTCAACTTGGAAAAGTCCATTCTCATATATGTTCAGTACTAACTTGGGGCTTTTTAAAAATCAAGTCATCTTTAAATTACCTCTTGTATTCTTGTATAATGAACTAGAGCTGTTAAATAAGCAGTGCATATATACTTTTTTAGAAAAACTCAGAGATCATCATTTTCACTGTTCCATCAAATGTTTTTCCCAGACTTGCTAAGAAAAATGACTTATACATTTGAGTGTTCTTAACTGTATTTCCTCTTTTTCATGCATTTTTAAGCTATAAAATATGCCAAAATGAAGAAATTGGAAAGGAAAAAGAGAAAAAGATGTCCAAATTACACTTTGAATTTAATAGAACAAACCAAATTAAATCTACTATAGATACTACATTGGAAGAACTAGCAGATTCTTCCATGTAACTAGATGCAAATCATACAGTTTGGAGAGTAATTCTTACATGATTAAAGCCGGAAAATTTCATAATTTCTTTTTTAGGTCTGGGCTGTTCTTTCTATTTTATATTTGATGTAGAAAGTGCAGGAGGCTTGTTTTCAGAGCCATATTCATACCACTAGCTGAGAGACTGCTGAAAATCACTCAGGGTCTCTCTTGTTCTACTCATCTCTAAAATGGTGAGCATGCTTTTTTGGGAGTTTGAAAGAACTAATTAAAATTGTATTCTTTTTGCTGCCAAAGGCATATAAATACTTTTTTTTTTTTTATTTTGGGTTTAATTTTCTTGAAAAAATAGAGCAATGTGAAGATTGCCTGGCGGGAATTACAGTATTAATAACCTCCTTAATGAAGTAACAATATCAATCTCTTACTTTAGTAATTGTCGTTTAATATGCCCCTAAAGCAAATTTGTGGTTTTCTACTCATTCTTGGTTAAGAGATTTTGAAACTGATCAGTCACTAGAAATGTTCACAATGGTTAAGAAGTCCCTAAAACTTAAGTGGCCTTAAAATAGGCTTTTCATATCTTTTTTATTACGTTTTGATAGGCTATTTGATCATTTATATATGCAGTACCTGTAACCCCCATGAATCTGCCTCCCATCCTAAAACAGTACTACTAATTTACATTGAATAACCACTTTCCTGAATTTGTATGCCTCACTCCCTTGCCACTTCTTAACCACTGTCATAACAGTGTGAGTTCCTATATAGTATATCGCTTAGGTTGTTTTGTTGGGTTTTGTAAAAATTAAATTATACGTATTATATTGTCTTTTACTTTTCTCCAGTCAACAAAAGTCCTAAAGATTCATTCATGTATTAGCAGTACTTCTGTAGTTTTCATTGCTATGTACCATTCTATTGCATGAGTACACTGAGATTTACTTACCTGCTCTTTTATTTGTAGCCACTGGGATTGTTTACAGTTTGAGACTAATATGAACTATGCTCTGTGATACCCTGTTTCTGTTTCCTAGTGTAACTACTAGCTTTTTCCGAGGGCCTTGGTTCCACAGTGTGATCTGACAACCCAGTGTTCCCAAAGAACTATATTCATAAAACTATGCTATGACATTTGCCATTTGAACTCTCATTCTCTCCTGAGTGCACACTGAAGCCTTCTAGTAACTACAAGATGTTCATAATGCAACAGATTGAATACAAAAGCAGGCAGTTCTTTTCTATGACAGCAGAAATTAAAGAGATTTGAAAAAATACAGAAAGCACTAGCCTTTTCTCGCTAAGTAGTTTACTGTCTTTTAATTTCTTATCTGGTTGATACCAGTAGATTAAAAACCATATTTTAAAAAAGGCTACAGGGTCACCAGTTTTTAGTAAGATAGAGAGATCAACCCTATGAACAAAAAGTTTGAGAACTGCTATTTTGGAGTGTACAGCTACTAGTGGAATTGCTTGGTCATTGAAATGCAATTGTTCACAAGATAATGCCAAATTACTTTCTAAAATATAATTTGCTTCCACGAGTAGTATGTAAGCATTTATCAATTCGTATCCTTTCTGACTCTTGAAATTATCAAATTCATTAATTTCTGGTGTTATGGGTGTACAGTTTTTATCACACTGTGGTATTTATTTACTTTTCCTTGATAACTCATGAGGTTGCGTTTCTTTCTGTGTGATTATTGACTACCATGTTTTTTCCTCTTTTGTGCAATGCCTGTTTATATTCTTTGCTGATTTTTATTAATTCATTTTTCTTTTTCATGTTGATTTGTAGTTGTTTGTTCTTGACATTAAGTGATTATCAACTACATGTGTTACATATATATTCTTTCAGTTTGGTGATTATCTTTTCCTCTTCTATCATTGCTTGAAGGACAAAAAGTGTTCTTAAGTTTAACATAGTCCAGTATATAAATCTTTTCTTTTAAAGGTGGTATCTTTCCTCATCCCAGGGTTTGAAAAATATCTTTATATAATGTTTGCTTTCTATGCTTAGAACCTCAATCTGTTTCAAATTACCTTTTTAAATATGATGTTGGGTCAAAATATAATTTTGTGTTTCTATATGTATAGTCACTTGTCCCTGCACCATATATTTGGGCATTTGTCCTCTTCCCCCAAACGACAGTGCTGTTTCTGTCATAAGTCAGAGTTCCATTTCTTTGTGTGCTGGTTTCTAGACTGTTTTCTATGCCTCATTTTTATAAACCTTGATATTAGGTAAAGCAAGACCCTCAACTTATTTTTTTCTTCAAGTGTGTAACATGACCATTCCTGGATCTTTTTTCTTTCATATATATATATATATGAAAAAAAATATATATATATATATATTTCTATATTCTATAAATATATGAATATTTCTATATTCATACATTCTACATTCTGTATTCATATTCTATATTCATATATATTTGTATATATTCTATCTTCATATATTCATATATTCTATCTTCATAAATATATGAATATTTCTATATTCTATATTTCTATATTCTATATTTCTGTGTTTCTATATCCTATAAATATATGAATACTTATTTCACATATATATATATATTTTTTTTTTTTGCTTAGGTTTTAGTTGGAACTGAAAATTTGAAGAGTTAACCTCATTATGGTACTGAATCCTACTTTCCATAACAATAGTATGTTTGTCCAAGTAAGACCTAAGTTTTTATATTTTATGCAAATAGATTTTGCTAGATTTATTCTTAAAAACCTTATTATTCCTGTTGCTATTAAAAATGGTTCCTTTTTAGTTCATTCTCTGTTGCTGTTGTATAGGAAAGCAGCTGATTTTTAAGACGTCTTGTATTCATCTACTTTGCTAAATCCTTATTTTTAGTAACCTGTCTGAGATTCTTTTTACAGTCCTCTTCTAAAGAATAGAAGTTTTGCTTATTCCTTTCCAACTCCTGTACCTCATTTCTTCTTCTTGTCCTCAGGCACTGACTAGGATCTCTGGAGTGTTACAGATGTAGAGCAGTGATAGTGGATGTCCTTATCCTTTTCCCAATTTTAAGAAATGCTTCCAAGGTTCTCTCATTAACACATTTGCTTTTGGGTTTCAAGAGTACTCTCACTGAAGAAGTTTGCCCCTTTTCCTAGTTTTCTAAGAGCATTTGTGAAACTCAGAATGAATTTATATTAGCAAATGCTTTTTTGAATCTGTGGAGATCATCCGATATTTTTCTCCTTGAATCTATTTGTCAAAAAGCTTTTTATTTTCTTGGAGCTTTAATGGAGCCATTTTCAAGTGTGGGTTGATAAGAAAAGGATGCTAGTTTAATGTACTTAAAATAAGAAAGAGTAAGAAAGGCTACAGCATAGCAGCCCTTGGTATGTATCAGTGTTTGGTGAACTATAAAATAGACAACAGTTAGGCAACACAGTGCAGGTCAGTGCATCTCAAACTTCATGTCAGTAAGAATCGCCACTTTATGAAAAGGCAGCTTCTGATGCATCTGGTCTGGAATTCAGCCTGAGATTCTACATCTCTGAAATGATGGTGATTCTTTTTCTACTAGTCCAACAAGCACACTCCTGGCAAGGGTGTAGCAAACTACACGTGACTGCATTGTTCATTTTTAAAACTTTGAACCATAAATTTAACTTTCTGTTACAAAGGAGGAATAAATCTAGTTCTGGGAAAGTAGTAGGTAAAACATTAAGAAAATTAGATTTAGATATGTATTTTAACGAGGACCTTGGATTGTCTGGATAGGGATGTGCCACACACCCCACACCCTGTAAACTTGCCGGTACCAGTCATTTCAGTTTCTCCATTAGGATGTTAATCATAACATTTCCCTCCCTCTCTTCTGTCTGCTCTCTGCAGCTTGATATTGTCGGAGACAGTGCTGTGGACGAATTTGAAAAGCAAAGGCCAAGCAGAAAACAGAAAAGTTTAGGACTGCTCTGCCAGAAGTTTCTAGCTCGGTATCCAAGTTATCCCTTGTCAACTGAGAAAACTACCATCTCCCTAGATGAAGTTGCTGTCAGTCTTGGTATGTATCACCAGATTATCTGGAGGCTTGTCTCCACTCACAGTGGGAAACTGGTTTCCTTGGGCAGGCCAAAGACTTCAGGTGACCTTTTTTATAAACTAAAGAGTGGGCCTTTCGCAGGGTTGAGGACAAAGAAGTAGGCAGAGTTTCCTTCATCATCAGTATCTCTTTCTGCATAGAATTCTAGGAAGCTTCCTAGACAGGAGGGCCAAACAGAAATTCAGGGTTCTCTTGTCTTTTTCTGACCTTAAAAAATATTTTTGTAAAAGACAATTATTTCTTGATACTTCTAAATTAATATCATTTTTAAATTCATCTTCAGATATATGCAAAAAGCTTTAGAAACATCCTGCTTGTTTTGCTTTTTAATAATGCTCCTAAAAGTTCAGAACTGGTGTTATTTCCTTTTACCCCACAAGATTTGAGTACAACAGCATTATGTTGAAGCCATGTACTGTAATACTCATAGCAAGCCTGTCAAGCTAGAAAAAGCACATCTGCACATACTGCGACCAGCTAAATCTCATAACAAAGAAGAATACGTGTGTTCATTGAAGTAAGCATGCATAATGTTATGTATATATGTAATGTAATGTAATGTGTGTACTGCTGCTTCAAAGTTGAGACCCCTAGTGGGCATGGATTGCAGTTGATTTCCGGATGAACGTGTTGGCAATAGTTAAACAGAAATCACAGTGATTTATAAGGCAGGTGGCAGAACCACTGAGCTGAACCCCCAGCCCAAATCACAGTTATTTAAAAGTCTGAGAGTATCCTCTTAAAAAATAAAAAGGTTTTACATACAGGAAAATAAAGATTTTGAAGTAATCAACTAAATAAATTACAGTTTTTATTTGTTTCTTCCATAGCCCAGGAAAATGTCATCTGAATTTATTCATTATGTCAGTGTGACTATTAATCTGAATTTTTCAAGATGATAGCTATAAGCAGATTTTGGTTGTTGGGAACCACAATAATAAGGAAGTTATGATGGGAAGACCTTGAGTTGGTCTTTGGGTCAGATAGGACTGGATTTGAAGCTCAACCCTAGAATATATAGGTTATAAGAGCTTTTAAGAGTTAAGTTACCTTTTTGTGTTCATAACGAGGAACCTACCTACTTTGCAAGACTATGAAATTGGAAATAATGGGAATAATATGTCTAATTCAGTACCAGCATGTTGTCCTTCTTATTACATGGAACATTTTCTACTCAATACTTACTAGATTCTTCTCCATACCTGTAGCTGTTCTATCAGCCTTCATAGTAAGAAAGAGAAAATAGGGTGCTGGGCTTGGAGAGCCTTTTCTGAACCCAGAAGTGTAGTATAATATTCTAGGATCAAGGCCATCGGTCAAGAAAAGGAAACTGCTAGCTGGGCAGAAGCATGGTGAAGAGCTAGTTAGGGCACAGGATTCTGGGAACTAGTGTTACAGAAAATGGGATCAAATGACTGGTCACTGAGTGTCCTCATGAAGCCTGTCTCTAAACACCCAGTGTCTGTCCGGAGGTCCTAATACTGATGTCACTGCAGAACATGAAAGATTATATGTTGGAGGGACAGGTCTCAGGGAGGACAGAAGAATGGATTCTGTTGTCATCTTGGCTGCTGATCATTCTACAGAGCTCCATGTTATAACAGCCTGGGGCAGAACTACTGAGATTTTTACAGCAGCTTCCCAATGCCTCGTTATCACCCAGACATGCCAAGTAAGCATGGTATCTCTCTTCATGTGAGGTTGGAAAATGGGGTTCTTTCCTAGACGCTGTTTCATTATTGATCATTTCCTGGAGTCTAAACTCCCTGCTACATCCTGGGTCATAAGTTATAAGACCATAGTTTAACCAAAGATGTGCAGAGCATTCAAATTGCATTGGTTCCCAGATTCTGATACTATTAGATTTTTTGCTGAAATTAGGGGCAAGAACTTAAGAATAGGGAGTGACATTAGTAACCAGAAAACAGTATAGCCTATGAAACTATTTTACTGTGCTGAGAGTTGTTCTTGATAGGTTCCATAGGGAACTAAACTAAGCATAGCCACAATTGGAAATCTTTGACTGTAGCTGATGTCACAACTAGGATTAATGGAACAATCTCAATATAAAAGAAAAGAGAGCTTAATACTCTCAGATTAACCTTCAGGTGTTGACACCTGTGAGAAATGGAACTCTAGTATACCAGCCCCAGAGTAATTAATTCGAGCAGGATTGAAATAGTGGTAAGCAGGCAAGAAGCTGCCATATTGGGTTCCTCTAAAAGCATATTAAACATCACGCTACTCCAAATCGTCAGAATCCTTTATTAGCCCTTCTTGGGATGTTTAGCCACTACATGGAGACTAAGCAGCTCATTATCAAATACATCATAACAAAACAGCAGGGCATATGGCTGGCTCTGGGGTGTCTCAGTTGCATTCACATGACATTTCTAATGGGAAGGTTTATAGAAGGTTACACGCTAAACAGAATTTGTTAATATGTGAAAACAGACTGGAATAAAGAACCAGGCAGTTCTAGACAAGAGGCTGCTGTCTGCTCCTGTCAGCACCGTCCAGCTGGCAACAAAGGCTGAGTTTTGGGGGGTGACAATCCTTTCAGGGTCATAAGCTGAAAGGTTCTGAACGACTGTGAAATGTCTCTCATGCATGTGATAGGACTTCCTCTCAACCCTAAAGTGTGCCTTGCAATTTGGTATCTTTCTCACATTAAATCTTTAGACTAGCCCAAAGCTGTATTCACTGACCCTGCCCTGATTATATTACAGCTCCTGGCAAGTGAACTGAAAGAGGGCATCTTCGTAGCTGGGCTGGTTTTCTGCAAGGTGCCTGGAGGCTTTGTTATGGATACTTCAATGAGAGCAAAAGGGAGCAGAGGCCCTGGAGACTGTTGCACAACAGAATGAGTCACAGGCATGAGATTTTCAAAGTCTTTCTACTGTACACTCTTGCTTTAGCTGCAATTTTAGGTATCTCCAATTTTATTAAAATACTCAAATAAGATGAACGCCTCTTGGGAGCCCTTTACATTTATAGATACGTTTAGTCCTCATCTTTTATGAAATAAATACTAAGACATGCAAAGGTTAAGTAACTTCCCAGGATCACCCAACTAGTAAGGGAAATCAGGCAGGCAGTCTGACCCCAGAGATCTCAACACTTAACCACTGTAAATATTTCTGGTAATACTGTGAATGACTCAAAGCCCCAGGTACATGGAGGAGGATGGGAAAGTAGAAAGGTAACTGATTAGTCTTTGTGTTTCACCGTTTGGCAGGATATGATGAAGGAGAACACAGAATGGTCAGTAGCAGTGATGAGCAAAAGAAGACTCATCTTCTTCCAACTCTGGCTATATAGCCTTGTCCAGTAACTTGAGATTAGTGCCTAAGCCCAAGAATCTTGAGTTTCCATTTCAAAATAGGAAACACTGTTTACTGTAATTTTTCTACACTGGGCCATTGAAAGAGTTACAAGTGTAATTATTTTTTCACATCATTCAGACTCCAAGAAAGGATAGTATTGTTTAGCAATGAAGTGTCAGTATTAAATACAGTTTATTTTATAGTTACATAATTAGGAATACAAGTCACAATCAACCATGCACTCACTCATCAAGGGAGCAGTATTATGTATATTGCACAGTACTGCCCATTTTAACTTGCAGAAATATTCGTGTGGTTTGCTAACGGGTCAAAAGAGCAGATGTTACACTATCAGGTCATACAGATAGAACTGTCTCCATCTCTACCCAGCTCTAAGCATTGGAGCATTGGATCTCAAGAAGAAAAAAGAAAACTAATTTCTATTGTTTGCCTCCTTACAGGTTGAATTTATGGAGCAGCCATAGTTGCTGGGCGTTAAAGTGGGTAACATACAAAGCAGTTCACAGACATGGTCCAGGCCCTCAAGGAATTTATACTCAAAAGGTTCACCTGTATGATATCTATTGGCTTCTGTTTTTCAAATAGGTGTGGAAAGGAGACGCATCTATGACATTGTAAATGTGCTGGAGTCCCTGCATCTGGTGAGCCGAGTGGCCAAGAATCAGTATGGCTGGCATGGACGACACAGCCTGCCAAAAACCCTTAGAACCCTCCAGAGACTAGGAGAAGAGCAAAAATATGAAGAACAGATGGCCCATCTACAACAGAAGGAGCTAGACCTGATGGATTATAAGTTTGGAGAGCATAGAAAAAATGGCTATCCGGATTCCCAAGATCAGCAGTTACTGGATTTCTCTGAACCTGACTATTCCTCTTGTGAGTCCATTTTAACCTCATGAGTAATGGCAGAGTGTGATGGTTTCTTCTGAAGAGATTCACTGCTAAGAAGAGAAATGCCAGATTGACAACCCTGGAGGGAAATGTCCTCTTACTCCATCTACTGAAGAAAGGGAGGCAGATGGCTCCCCATCTGGGCTGCCTACCCAACCTCACTTCAGATCCATCTAGTGGCAGTTCACTTGGTGTTTAGCATGCCCGGACTGTAGTTCACCAATAGTGTTCTTGTTGTAGATTGACAACCCCAAGCAGTTTTCTTTTCATGAGACTTTACTTTGAAGAAGTTATCTTCTCAAATAATTTTCTTTATCATATGTTGGAGTGGATTTCTTAGAAAAGAGCCCCATTAACAGGAAGTGATGAGAAAGACAACCCCTGCTTTCATTTTGCAGAAAGTTTTTGATTTATACCTGCATTTGTCTTTCCTCCCCCTAATAATTTTCCTCTGTTTTAGCCATTAATCTTCATTATTGTCACCCCTTCTGTTGCTAAGATGACACAGTACAAGTGCCACTCACGTTTTAATTGCAAATATTAGACATGGAAGGAAGGTGGGGCTGGTGTTCATTAGAGTCACAGCCTTATGCCTTTTAGTTCCACTCCATGTGGCCGTGCTTATCCTAATAACCAGGGAAGGCAGCCATCTGTCCGGGATGGTTTACCTGCCATCCACAGGACCACGCATCTAATAATTCTTTGTATAGAAAGCTTGTTTATTCACTTTCTGAAAAGAGTTGGAAGAGGTGGGCACCTACTATATTCTGAAAATTTTGAGCTCTCTTATCTTTGAGAAGGAAGTTTGATGTTCTGAAAACAGTTTCTGAACCCTGCCCTCTCCTTTTATCTGTCTAAATTAATCTTTTCACAAAGTTGCTTCAGGAAAACTACCACATGGATTCTATCACATGACATATAAGTATAAAAGTGTTGAGAATAGCTTACAATATGCATGTAAGAGTTTATGCCTACTCCAGAGTAATTTTGTGAGCCACAAGAAAATCCTGATTTCTTTAGAAGCTGATTTTTGTGATGTGTGTCCAACAAGCTTCTGCCTATAACAAGGGTAATCCTTCCATATACTGTTGGAGCTAGATAGTTCTGGTAAACCATAACACAGCCTTTCTTGTAAATCCCATGTTTTGATACTTACATTTCTTCCCTTTGTAGCATCTGCGAACAGCAGAAAAGATAAGTCTCTGAGAATTATGAGCCAGAAGTTTGTCATGCTATTCCTCGTCTCCAAAACCAAGATTGTTACTCTGGATGTGGCTGCTAAAATACTGATAGAAGAAAGCCAGGATACCCCAGACCATAGTAAATTTAAAAGTAAGAATCTTTGCCTAGATTGGTTTATCAGCACCAAGAGGGTGGGATTTCATAGATTGATATGTTCTGCCTCTGAGATTAAAAGTATATGTGTATTCTTTTTGAGAAGTATACTCTATCTGTTATTCATAAAGATTCTTAGTGCTGTGAAAGGTCAGCTAATCACATAATAGAATTTTAAGTTCCTGTCAGGAAGCTTTTCCTCAACAGTTAGGGAGCCGGTGACAAGCAGAATGCCATCCAGAGAATGACAGCCAGGAAAGGTGTGAATTACTTCGCATTTCTCTTTAGTAACATTGCATTGGAGACAGAATGTCTGAGTTTTCTTTCCCCTTTTCTCCCCACCCCCTGCCTACTCTTCTGAAGGGTGGAGATGAAAGTTTTCTACAGGTAAGCGTCAGAGGAATAAACTGCCAGGGCAGGGGTGGTGGGACATGGCTAATGGACAAGGACAGAGTTTCTGAGTGTCAAACCCAGTGCATCCTCCATTTTGATGGCTCCAAAATCCTGAGCCAGTACCCTGGGCCCCTGGTGAGAAGCCATAAGCTCATTCTCTCGCTTTTTTTGTTTGTTTCCAGCTGGAATGATACCACCTTATGGATGGAATAGCTAGATAGAATTCAGCACTGGCAGGATAGAGGTGAACGTTTGATGTTTCTGGACAATAATTCAAAGTCCTTTGGTTGATCTGAACCTGGGAATCAAGTGGTTTACCCACCTGTCAGTCATTTTCTTACATAGAAAATGCTTTATGGTCATTGTCCTGCCTGTTTGATGTGTTACCAGCCCTTCTGAATCTTTCCTCTAGTATATGCATTTCTTAAGTGTCTCTCGCAATATTTCTTAAGACTCCAGACAAGCCCGTTCCAGCCCTCCTGCTGGGTACCCAGAGTGCCATGCTTTCAGGTGAAGAGCAGCTGTCTTTAACACAGTTGTACCTCATGACCTTGAGTCCTGGGCATCACATGTGCCCAGATTTATAGCCTTGCAGGAAGCCCTGGAAAATCCCTGTCATCTTCACAGGCCAGCTGCCTTTGAGCAGGCTGTATGACCTCCTGCTGGGAAAAACTCAGGGCAAGCTTTTGACATGCCACATGGCAGAATTACATTATACTAAGCCTTTAGTCATTTCCCCCCTTGGTGTTTTTGCAATTCTGGTGCTCCCTGCTTATTACCAGATGCCTCTTGAAAGAGGTGTGAAGTTGTGAAAGGGAAGGGCACAGTGACCTTCCCTTAATATGTGTCTTCAGTTACATCAAAAATGGAAATCTTAGGTGATTTCTTGACAGAGCCATTGGTCTCATTCCACCCAGCTGCTTTCCTCTTGAGGTTTACATGGTTGGCATAGAAACATTACCTGTCACATAAACTAAAACGTATCCATCACAGGTGGCATGACCATAATTGTGTTTTGTATCTTCAAGCAAAGGTACGACGCCTCTATGACATAGCCAATGTTCTGACCAGCTTGGCTTTGATAAAGAAAGTGCATGTAACAGAAGAGCGAGGCCGAAAACCAGCCTTCAAGTGGATCGGTCCTGTGGACTTCAGCTCCAGTGGTAAGGAGGTGTGGTTTTTCCAGGGATCTATTTTATGTATAACTCCTAATTTCTTTTCTAACTTTGACCTGTACTACAGAGTGAGATTGATCTTTTCCATAATCCATATCACATATCTGATTGGACTAGCGACCTTACTCTTGAAGCAGTAGTCATTACCCTAAAAAATAGCAAATGCCGGTTGGCAGATATACAGTAGAAAGGGACATACTGCGAGCTTATAATGTGGGAGTTTCCATAACTACTAAATTACAGCTCTCGATAATTTTTTATTTTGTTCTAGAGTTCTTTCCTGGAAGTTTAGAATAAGAATTTAAAATGACACTTCCTTTGAGCTCTGGTTGCCTCTGCATTAGCAGAATGATACATTGTTTTTTCAGTAAAATCACAAATAATGTAAAAATTACATCAGTTATCACAAAACTAATGTGTGGTAAGGCTGGTTCTAAATATAGGATGATATAATGAACACTTCTTTTGTAATTTACTTAAAAGGTTACAAATGTCATAATTTTCCTAAACTAGAATGAAAGAGGGTATTATTTTCTACTTAATTCACAGGTAATATCTGAGCAATCAGAAACTAGATCCTACTGCACCAGGTGCTTTACACATAGCTGTACTGCCTGGGAAAAGCCATTAACATTATTTTTAAATTACCCTTTCAATTTTGGCATTGGTGGTATAAATTCATGCCACTTAACTCAGGCTTATAAAAGATACAGCTCTCTGCCTCACTTGTGACACATTATTCACTTAGGATCTAGATGGAACCACTTAAAATCAAGTATTACTAATTCAGCCCAGGGTTTTCTTACTGAATGTGGGCTATGTGCCAATTACTGTACCGCATACCATGAAAATTTTAAAGATAGGTGGGATGCTGTCCCTGCCTTCATGAAATATACATCTTTGACATATTCTGCTTCTCTGTCTTTGGTTTCTCCTTTCTGCCTGTGAAGACTTTTTTAACACTAGAAGTACAGCCATGCATCACTTAACAACAAGCATATGTTCTATGAGACGTGTCCTTTGGTGATTTCATCATAGTGCAAACAGCGCAAATGCACTTAACACAAACTGGCCTACTACAAAGTTACTAGGCAATACAGTCTTATGGACCAGGGCTGTAATGTGGTCTGTCCTTGACCGAAATATCCTTATAACTGTATTTTACTCAGCTATCAACTTCATGGTGTTTCCCTGATCATCCAGAGCAAATATCTCAGCTGAGCAATTGCAGTTAGGAATTGTGTTGTTTTGCTTAACAAAGCTGATAATGCATGACTGCCCTTGGCCTACACGTTTGAGGTCAGACATCAGTATTCATGTTTATCCCGTAATGCATAGAACAATGCCTTACTCACTTTAGTTAGCAAATGAGGTTGGTATTGACAGTAACCAATTAGCATATATTTGAAGGTCAGAGATCAGTTCAGTGCTAGACAGGGTAGCATTGGCTGTAAAGGAATTCAAAGAGCATACTAGACAGACTGTTAAGTTTTGAAGGAATCGCATAGGTGTGATTGAAAAATAAAGTGAATATTTAAATTTTTTAGAAATGACACAGTAGAAGACCCATTGCCATAAATCTCCCTCAGAGTACCCCCTCTCCTTTTAAAAACACTTCTTGCCACTGGGTGAAGCAGTTCTGGAAGTCCTCTGTTGTGTCTATGAGGTATGATAAGACATGGCAGATGCTGATGCCAAGTGCCATCCAGTGGAAAGGGAGGTTCATAAAAACATTACACTATGTTCTTTTCCACCTTGTTCTCTGGATCTAGCACCATGGGACTTCTGGCTCTTCCTCCTGTACAGTTAAAAATGACCATGGAAGGTAAACATTTTAAATCAATTCAGGATATCAAGGAAGTCACAACAGTGCAACTGAAGACACTGATGAAAAAGGACTTCCAGGCCTGCTTCAAAAAGTAGCAAGAAGAATGGGATAAGTGTTCAGAGCAAGGGGGAATATTTTGAGGGGATTGATACCATGCCTTTTACTGCAAAACATTTGCTATACTTTTCAGTCAGACAGAACAAATCTGGTCTACACTGGAGAGATCAGCCACCTTGATTTAAATAGAGAGCAGAGAATAAAGAATAATAAAATAATATCTCACTGGTGGGGACCAGATTTTTGGAAGGCCTAGAGTCAAGAAATTAATAGGAGTGACAAGGAGACTGAACATAGAAATTAACATATCCCTGCCAGCTTAAATCATTGATGGTACATCCATGACTATCCCTTTGGCCAGCCTGTACCACTGGTGGTACAAATCATACAGTCATGTGTCAGACAGTTTGAGCTGCCCAGCAACAAGAAATTCAAATTACAGCCCATTGTGAATGTGTTAAGAGGAAAGATGGTAAAGCCATTGAAAAAATAAGATCTCTGGGAAGGTAATATGGTGTTGAGAAGTCAAAAAATTCACATATTTGCACAACCAGTGGGAAAACAACTGGAACTCTTAATTGGATCTGGGTTTGGAATCACAGATTGAACTTATTTTCTCCACTCTCAGAAAGCTGGTCCTCTTTCTATATTCCCTCTAATGATGATAAATAACATCATCAACCCAGCAAATGAGTTTGGAAAACCTGGGCACCTTTAAATCCTTGATTCATTCTCTTTACCTTTTGAGTAGCAGTTAAACTTCATAAAGGTCTTTCTTTCTTCAGTTTGGCCAACTATCATACATAGTTATTTTAATAGCCTTATTGAGGTATCATTGGCATATAATAAGCACAAAGTTAAAATTACAATTTGATATTTTTGCTTATGTAAGACTTATAGTTATGCACCAGTGAAGTAATCACAACAATTAAAATAATAAACATATCTATCACACACAAAAGTCTTCCCCTGCCCCTATGTATTTCCTCCATGCTGGCCCTCACTCCCATCTGTAGACAATCTCTGATCCTCTTTCTCCAGTTCTAGGTTTGTGTTTTCACCAAGGTTGATCCCCATTATTTACAGATTACTTACTTGTGAATTTACTTGCGTACTAAAATTCATGTGTAACTCCAAAATCAGTATTCATGCTGTTTTCACAGTCATTTGCAAAAATACAAAAAAGAAAAAATTAAGTCGCCTGATACACACATTCCTGGATGTGGTGGAATAAGTCCTGCTTTAGCTTTGCAGTCTTTTTAATGTCATGTTTTCAATTCTGTGCATTTCATGAGTGATTTTTCTACCTAAAATGGCTCGCAAGGGTGACATCACCAACATGACTGACTAAACATGTCTGGTGTCAATCCTTCAACAACAAAGAACCAAAACAAAGAAGAAATATGTTTCACTAGAATATTTGAGGCAGAACAGTGGAGTTGAGATGTTGCAGAGCAGAGATGCACAATCGCCTTAGGAAGAAGGGAACCAAGTACACAGCATCTACTGCCCAGTCACCCCAGGTACCTGGGCAAGGTACCCTGAGTGATTCAGCCCTGCAGAGGTCTCTAGGAAACAGCTGGTCCCACAATACCCCTGTTGCCCTGGAATCGGCCAACCATCCCTACCCACCCACCAGCAGCCCCAGCAAGTAGCACCCAGCTGGAGTGGCTTATTTCTGAAGATATCCTTGGACTTCGATGTGCAGCCCCACCTAACCACTCTAAGAAGCAGCCAAGAAGCCTTTTTAAGTACTTTGGCCTGTAGAGTCCCTGGGGAAGAGTTGAATGGCCTTGCCCACTCATCTGTGACTCCAGAAAGAAGCCAAGCATCCTTCCCTACATGGCCCTGTCCATTCTCTTATGGAATCCATATGACAGCCAGATGATCCACTGAGATGGTAGGAGGCAGGTCACTAGGTCCTCTGTAGACACTGCTGATACTGATGACAGCAAAAGAAGCTGGACAAAGACTACATTAAAGCACCTACCTGGTGCTAACAGACTAAAGCTAACACAGCCTATTACCCAAATCCATAGGACGGTGGTGATTATGGCACATGTAATGTTTTTCTTTTAAGACAAAATATATTAATGGTTTTTTTCTAAACTGAAACCTCAGTATTTAGATTCAATTGCAGTATTAGCTCTTTGTGATAAGTGGGTTTTGGGTTGTAGTTTGGGTGCTTGATCTCTAAAAGGTCACCATCACTGCCCTAGGATATGTTGCCAAGAGAAAGTCTTTTACTATGACAGCCTATAAAATTAGTAGAGTCAGCTGCTCTGCCAGATGCACAGACATCAAAATAAGGACAGGAGAAGCATGAAAAAAACAGGTAATAGCCTTCCAGAGGAACATAACTCCTTAGCAACACTTCAAAAAAAGAAAAAGAAACTGATGAATTGCCTTACAAAGAATTCAAGAGAATGATTTTAAGAAACTTACACCCCAAGTGAAAGTCTGACTACCACCATGAAAGTACAAAACTCATTAACAGTAGAAATAGAAGAAAATCAAACCGTATCAGTATGAAAAAAACTACCAAACCACAAAGCTAACCAGAAGAGGAAGAAGGAAACAGAGGTTATACAAGACAAGAAAAATTAAAACAAAATGAATGTAAACACATTATGGCCCCCAGTTAGAAGATACGGACCTCTGAATGGGGATCTCCTGGGCCGGGGATTTAGCTCTGGTCCCAGCACCTGCCTCACAAACACAAGGACCTGAGTTTGACCCCATACCCCCCCCAAAAAAAAAGACCCAATGATGTGCTACTCAAGAAAATTACTTCACCATAGGCTATAAATGAATGATTGAAAAAGATATACCATGCAAATGGAAATCAAAGCAAGCAGGAGTAGCTGTGTTTATCAAATAAAATAGACTAAGTAAAAAAAACTTTAAAGAAATGAAGGTCCCTATAATAAAGAGATGAAGAAATTTTAGAGATGTAAATATACATGCCCTCAATCCCAACACAAGCACCCAATTGTATAAAGCCAACATTATTAGATCTAAAATTAGATGAACTGTAATAAAGGAATAGTGAGATTTCAGTACTTCTCTTTCACAGGTGGACATATCCACATAAAATCAAACACTGGAGTAAAACTACACGACATAGACATCAAATCAACCTATCAAATATTTACAAAATATTTCATGCAACAAGTACAGAAAACATTCTCCAAGAGACTCCAAGGAATTCATGTCAGACCACAAAACAAGCCTTCAATTTTTTAAAAATGGAAATCATAGCCTGTATCTTCTATAAGAGTAAAAGTAGAAATCAACAAGAGACTTTTAAAATATTACAAAAACATAGAAATTAAAAAATATTCTCTCAAATGAGCACTGAATCAGTGAAGAAATAAAAGTGGATATTTAAAAATTTCTTGAAACAAATAATAAAAGACAACATACCAAAACCTAGGCTATGAGATTGAGCAAAAGCAGTACTAAAAAGATTGTTTATAGCAATCAAGTGCCTAAATCAGAAATTAATTTTAAATGCCCTAACAGTGCAATTGAAAAAACTACTACAAAAGAGCAAACTAAACCCAAAATTAATAGAACAAAGATTAGACATGAAAGACTAAAATAAAATAGAAATAACAAGTTTTATATTTCTTTAAGATAAACTGACAAACCTTTCACTAGACTAACCAAAACAAAAAGAAGATATAAGCAAATAAAGTCAGAGATGAAAATGGAGACATTACAACAGATATCACAGAAACACAGGATCACTAGGGACCATTATGGACATCTATATGCCAACACATTGGAAAACCTAGAAGAAATGCATAGATTTCTAGACAAAGATAACCTACTAAAAAATGAACCATGAGGATATTGCAAATTTGAGTAGGCTAATATAATCAGTAACTATTATAAATCAGTAGCAAAGTCTCCCGACAAAGCAAAGTGCAGGACTGGATAATTTTACGTTTTTCTTGGTAGAGTTCACAGAGATTTTTTTGTCCTTTTGGTTACTATTGTTTTTTACTGTTGAGTTGAGAGAGTTATATATGTATTCTGCATACAAGTCTTTTATTGGGTAGGTGATTTCCAAATATCTTCTAATCTGTGGCTTTATTTTTTTCATTCTTTTAATGAAATTAGTGAATTAATCATGTCTTGAAAATCTTAATGTTAAGTCCAGTTATTTAATTTTTTCTCTTGTGAATCATGTTTTTAGTTTGTGTCTAAGAAATCTTTCCTTAACATAAAATCAAAAATGATGTAATGTATGGACTAAAGGGTTTTGGGGTAGTGGTTTGGCACATAAATGCCTACTTGTATGAGCAATATTTGTATAAAACGATTGTCCTTTCTCTACCAAATTTTTTTGTACTTTCATTGAAAATAAGCTGACCATATAGATACAGCAGTATTTTTGGACTGTTCAAAGTACCGCATTAGTCTGTTTGGTATAACGGTAATAAGGGTCTCTCAGAACATTTTCAGAAATAGTTTCCCCAAAATAATAGTATCTGTAGAATTAGTGTTATATTTTTTCCTTAAATGTTTGTAAAAGTTCATTAATGAAGCCATCTGTGCCTGTAATATTCTATGTGAGAAAATTTTTAGTTTCAGATTACATTTTCTTTAATGCTTATGGACTACTCCATTACTGTCTTCGGCTTTGAGTTTAGTGTGTTCTTATCTTAGTTTCTTAAGTGAAGTCATGAATTTGATTCCTTTAGTTGTCTATCCGTTATCGATAGATGGATACTAAAATTCTGATTATAATTGCAGGTTTGGCTTGCAAGTCTATCAGTTTTTTTTCTGTGTATGTTTTTAGTACATACAATTTACAGTCATGTGGAGGAGTGGATACATGTACATAATACAACTTGATTCTTTTTAAAATCCTCTTCCCTCCCTCCTCTGAATCCCCTTTCCCTATTTTCATTCTTGTTTGTATCACTGGTCTTGTCTTGTGTTTATGAGATGCAGTGTTTACATTCATAGAAGTTATTCCTGTACATGGTTCCTGTACCTGGCACATCTTTATTCTGCTCGTTCCCCTTCCCTCCCTCCTCTACTCATACCCACGTTCTCTTGGACCCCTTCCCATTTGCAAGAGATATATCCCCTTGTCTCCTGTCATCCCTATTCTGTTTGTACTTTGCCTTACTCCGATGAGATACTATACAGTATTTGAGTTTATGTGTCTGATCTATTTCACTCAACATTGTATTTTCCAGGTGAATCCATTTTCCTATAAATGTCTCAAATCTGTCCTTTATTGCCAAGTGGTATCCCATTGTGCATAGATACCACATTTTCCTTATCCAGTCATCTGTTGATGGATATCCTGGCTTCTTCTAGGATTTTGCTATTATGAACTCTACTGCTATAAACATCGGTATGGATGTATGCATGTAGTATGATGTCTTAAGCTCTTTAGGGAAGATACCTTGAAAGGAGATAGCTGGGTCAATATGGAAATTCTGATTTTAGTTCTTTAAGCAGTCTCCATACTGATTTCTGTAATGTTTGTACTAGTTAAAGCCCCTCTGACAGTGAAGCAGGATTCTTTTTTTTCCCTGCAGCCTCACAAGCGGTAATTTTTTTACTTCTCGATGATTGCCGTTCTTTCTGGTGTAAGATGAAATCTCAGTGTAGTTTGAATTTGCATTTCTGTAATGGCCAGTGATGTTGATCATTACATCATGTATTTATTGGGTATTTGTACTTTTGTGAAGTTTCTACTCATTTCACTTGCCCATTTTTTTATTGGATCTTTTATTGTGGGGGGGTCTAACTTTATTCTGTTAGTTCTCTGAGGAATCATTGGCAAAAACAATTTCCCATCTATAGATTGTATTTTCACTCTTGATTGTTTCTTTGACTGTGCAGAAGCTTTTTAACTTGATATGACCCCATTTGTTGATTCTTGGTACTATTTCCTGTGCAACCAGGATTTCTATTCAGAAAGTATTGCCTACTCCTATGACTTCAAGAGTTTTACCTATTTTGTCTTCTAGGAGGTTAAGTGTTTTTAAAGTTATATTAACATCAAAGTGTGCATTTTATAAAGTGTAAGTCTAGTTGGACTTTTCAGTGTGTTAAATCAGTATTGTAGTCAAAATACTATTTTGAGCTTGGGAAAAAAATTAGCCCAAACAAGCAAGCAATTCTGTCTGGATGGCAGAATTGTCTGCCTGGCTCTAGATGAGTAGCTCCACCTTGACTGTATATAGGTACTTTAAGCACAAAATGGTCCTCCAATCACCAACCTTCTATCCTCACTGTTCTGCGGCATTTCAACCATGAAGGCTGCTGGCCTTTTTCTCTTGTGCTCCCTTCGTAACTGAACCTCCTGCTGCCTAAGAAAGAAATAATAAAGCCTAATAATAGCAAATAGTGATTCTTCTACTCATTGCCCCAGAGTTTTAGTGTAAGAAGCAGATTTCAATTAATCTTGAAAGTGAATCTCAAAATATGCATGGTTAGGTTAGGGAGTGTGGTCAGGTTTTCCTTTGATACTCTCTGACAAAGCATTAAAATGTCAGGCCTGTTCCAGTTTGGGTTGAAGAACATCTTGCTCTACTTTTATTGCAGTTCAGATAATTTTAGGATATATATGGATTCATTCTCACTTTATAGTCATCCACTAACTTAAAAAAAAAGGAATATGTCAAAAAATGGGGTTTGAGACAAGACTCATAAAATTCCTTTGATTGTCTTTTTTATTTATAGGATAACTGTTCCAATTATAGGTTCAAAGTCATCTGTTGAAAAAGACTAAAATTATCCCAAATTACAGCTGTATAACAACACTACCAATTCTCTCATTTATTTAGATGATGAACTAGTGGATGTTTCTGCATCTGTCTTACCAGAACTGAAAAGAGAAACATATGGCAAGATTCAGGTCTGTGCAAGACAGAGGCTGACTCGTTATGGTTCCTTTAATACAGTTCAGACTTCTGAGAGGATGGAAAGGAAAGTGATCTCAGAACCCAGCAGCCCATACAGAAAGGAACAAGGTATCTGCCTTTGCTTACTCCATGCAATCCATCATGTGCTGTGTAATTGTAGCCTTACCCATACATTGACATTTTTAAGTGATCTGATTCTAGATTCTGCCTATTTTTTCAGAGGTCTACTTTTCACTAAAACAATTATTGGCAGCAAAGGAGATGCTGACTTCACAGTGTGTGAACATGGACCCCCACCTGAAATTGATCCAGTCAGTCTTGATCAATTGGTTTGCCATGGTTGGCCTGTTTAATATATCTCAGAAATTCACCATACTGACAAAGCAACACTTATTATGGTTTTGGCTTGGTTTGGTTTCTGATTCAGTTTTGATGAGACCTGAATTTGCCATTTGGAAAATTTCTCTCTAAATCAAAAAAAAGAACAAATTTAAGGTAGTCTTACTATCCCCAAGTTATAAATAATGAATTCCACTGCATTGATTGGTATTTATAGGCCTCTTCCCATATTTTGTTAACCTTCATTTATGTTTTCAGGATCGGGTGGTTATTCCTTAGAAATTGGAAGTCTAGCTGCTGTCTACAGGCAGAAAATAGAAGATAATTCACAGTAAGTAGTCTATTCTGTTTCCTAGTATTAATCTTGACTAAATTGAAATGTCACCCCCAAAGATAAAATTTAAATCATCTATTTTTTTAATTAAGAATTGATAAATTTTCCCTTTTACCCAACTGTATAGAATCAGTGAGGCAAAAGTATGAAAAATGTATTCTCTAAGCTATGACAGTTTATATATAGGGAAATAATAAAGAGACAAATACATTGATGTTTAAAACAAGGTCACATGAACATGACACCAAGAAATGAAGACTCTTAGCCCCGTGGATCATTTTATCATCATCACAGCTAACTTTGTGTACTGAGTACCAAGTACTATTTCAGTGTTTATTAACCTATCTGACCATAATCTTTTGGGGCTGTCTCCATTGTGCTCATTTTATAGAAAGGAAAATAAAAAGAGGTTAAGGAAGTTGCCCATGGTCAGATTGCTACAAAGTGACAGAGGTGGGATTCAGATCCAGGCTGTCTGCTTTGAATTTGGGATCTAATGTTGAAATAAATCAGTGTATAATCTGAGAAAGCAGAAGAAACATGAAAGAGGAAATGAAAAAGGTTCTTAATGAACATATGTTAAGAAACAGATCGAGTCAGGCTCAAGGAGTAGATGGACAAAGGCTGCTGAGTTTAGCTGTCATGATTTGTCTGACTAGGATGGTAAAGGAAATATCATTCATAACAGGTGGATATAGGCCACATTAGCAAAAAGCATTGAAAGCCAAGTAGAAGCATTTAGATTCAACAGATACTACAGAACAAGTTCACTGAGGAAGCTCCTTTGGCTGCTTTAAACTGGTGAGACTGGAATTAGAAATGGGCTCCTGATGAACTGACCAAACAGGGCCTTCGCTGGTGGTAGTTCTGGTCTACTAAGGTACAGATCTGAACCCTGTCAGCCAGAGACAGAGAGAAAGAGAAATTAGTGTAAGACAGCGACTCAGCAGACTCACTCCAGGAGCGGCTTCTCATCAGGTGTGGTGGTACACACCTATAGCCCTAGCACTAAGGAAGTTGAGGCAGCAGGATTGAGAATTTGATGCTATCCTGGATATAAAGTGAGTTTAAGACCAACCAAAATACAGAGCAAGTCCCTTTCTCCAAAAACAGAAAGGAGGGAGGACATCTGGGGGCCTGGTGATGGTAGTATTATACTGGTGGAGATGAGGTTAAAGACTGATGGCTGGGCATCTTATAGTGCTTAATACATTCATTCTGGGTCTGTTAGTGTCACAGAGCTGAGTAATGCAGATTGCTACTTAGCAAGAACCTGGACAGAGCAGTATACCCCTCCCTATAGCCTAGTGTACTCCATTCTGTTCCCAGCAGCAAAATATGAGAAAGCAGGCAGAGTGGACCATGGTGCCTTCCATCAGAAGGGCTACAAGAATCTCTTGTCTTCTCTACCATTTCTTAAAGGATTTTCCTCTTCCCAAAAATGTACTTAAAATTAAAACATGGACATGTTCTTAAATATGTGGAGGTTTTTTTAGAAAGGCCCAGACATTGCTTATAATCACAAATATTAATGGGATTTATTTCTAATTGTATACTAAGAATTCTCTAGTAACACTGAGCAGCATGGAACAAGGATGATAGAAAGTAATTATTTAGTAGATGAGTTTATTTCTTTACTCTTGCTTATTTTACACTTGATCTGAGACAACCTACACTAAACTTTTTCTAAATCAAAGTCTGGTCCAGACTCTTACCATCTTTTCATGATCATGATCATGCCACCAAATAGCCCAAACAGTATCGCTGCACTCCTGACTGGGTCAGTCTCTCCTAAGGAAGGCAGAGTCCGGAAATGGAGAATGTGTTAACTTGTTGGTGCTCATTATGTTTCTTCTCATTACAGTGAAAGCACCTCTGTCAGTAAGAGAGTGGTATCTACAGCAGGCAGCTCAGAGACCGGCTTCCCTGTTGACTCTGAATACTGTGTTAATCCATTAGCCCACCAAGTATTTTCTGTTGCTCAAGACTTGCCAACATTCTCCATGCAGAACAGTCTGAATGGACAAGTAGGCATCCCCCTTGCTCCCGTGTCCTCTGATGTGGAGAGCATGAAGCCACCTCTGCTTGCCGGCCAGTCCCTGGTGTACGTGCCCTCCACCTCACTGTTCATGCTGTGTGCAAGCCTGCGGGAGGGACCATCCCCAGAGTCGGGGTCAGAAGGGGATGGCAGAAGCTCGGAGATCCCAGCCACAGCAGAGCTGTCCTTGACACCTTCCAGTCAGAAACGCCTCTGTGAGGACAAGAAGTCCTGGGAGGAGCACGAGCCTGCCACTAAACGACAAAGTCGGGAACTTGAAGACAGCCCCTTATCCCTGGTCTTGCCCAAGGTAAGAGGGTGTGGGTGAACTGTCTGGTGCCATCCCGTAACCCCTTAAGACACAGATACACATAAAATAACTAATAAGACCCAGCCTCGGCAACCTAGAAACTTAGTAAGACCCTGTCTCAAAATAAAAAACGGTCTGGTGGGCTGGGGATTTAGCTCAGTGATGTTGCTGCCTGCCTCGCAAGCACAAGGTTCCAAGTTTGATCCCTGGTACAAAAAAAAAAAA